GATGAGGAATTCTGTTGTTTCTCTCCCACTTTTGTTTATTTTTTTAAATTAAAAAGTAGTTCGTGTAAGAAGTCTGTCTTCGTTTCTCAGATAACCTACTCTTTGAAAAGCTTCTAGACTTTGTTATTGCCCTTTAAATACATATATTAGTTGTAAATGGATCATAAGCTTTATCCTTTTTTTATTACGTACAGAGAGTTGTATATATTAATCTGAAGCTTGGTTGAGAGTTCTAGGCTAAAGATAGATTTGGGAGTTATTTAACACATGGCATTTGAAATCAAGCAAGAGATTGAGACGATAGAAGAATGAGATGTCTAAGAAGCTGGAGAACATGAACTTTCAATGGGCAATGGAATAGGAGTTCTTGAGGACTGTAGAAAGAATGGACAAAAAAAATAACTACAGCAATATGTCTCAGAAGTAGGAAATGGCATTAGAACAAAGAGGACGTGTTCAGCAGTCTCCATAGAGCAGAACCTTCCAATTAAGTCATTGGTGACCACATAAGAGTAGTTAAAACATTGAGTGTGAGTGTGAAGTTTGAAATGAAAAGTTGAGACAGAAATGACTGGTTCAGATGAGGGGGAACTGGTTGTCATCAGGCCACACGTCAGGGAGGATTGGTTTTAATAGGGAGTGGGTCTCAAGGTCCTTGCAGGGTGCCCATGAGGATAAAACTGTTTTCATAGTAATGCTATGGCATTCTTTACCAACTCTGTGCTGCCATCTGCACTCTTAATGCAGAAGCAGTCAACACAGTACAAGGCAGCGGGCAGTGCCATGCCCTCACAGCTAAAAACCAAACCAATTGCAGTAAGAATGACGCAGGAATAAGCACTCACTTTACTAAATAATATGTATCTTTTTAATGTTCTATGTGACACAATGGGAAGTACACGTAGAACACATCTGCTGCATACTGAATGTAGCACTTACGCAGTTGTTTGAATTAGGAGCTGAATCAGCTGTTTTTTGAAACTGATCCTCAATAGGTTGTTGTTGTTTTTTTAAGATTTTTTTATTGGGGAATTTGGGGGATGGGAACAGTGCTGGGGAATTAGGGGAAGGAGAACAGACAAGTTGCTGTCATTTTTGTTCATCAGTCTAGTTGTGGAGGACGTTGCTTCACTGGCCCAAGTTGGCACCATCATTGCGCGCTTCCCGGGCGAGGCACATCAGTCACCGGCATCGGGACGGCCGCTCACTGCGGCTGCGGGCTGCTCACGCTGGCTGCTGGCTACATACGGTAGCCCATGGCAACCCAGTGCCACAGGGGCTGCA